CTATCTCTATAGTTCTGCTGCTATAGGCTTAGACTGCTGGAGGACATAGGGACCCCCATTTCATCATTCTATCTTTGTCTCTATTCTCCCAGTATCTGTTTCTTGGACTGTGACTAACTGGATGTACTCTCTTCATCCTCTGACATGGGAACTGGCTCGGTGCTCGACAGGGACTAGCATGCACCCCAGATCCTGACCCTATCAGCCTGTTTTCTACTCTCTGTAAACACATGGTAAAATGCTACAGCAGACTAAAGTGTGATCAATTTTCTACTCACAGAAGAAAATGTATCTGTTTCAGGCTGAGTAGAACCTGGAACACTCACTAAGATAAAAGACCTCACATTTGTTCATAGATGTTCCTATGGGAGCTCTGATGGGTTCTGATGGTGTGCAGTTGTCAAAATAAGTCCAGTGGCTGTTTACTTTAGGACATTTATCTGGTACCAGAACCAACATCCTCAGAGGGAATAGCAGAACATTAGGGGAACATGACTCACAGAGAAAAGTTCTGCTGGTAAGTTGGGTTTTTATTGTTCTGGACCGTTCCTGTTTTCATCCTGATGCTGCGGCAGAGGTCAGAGGTCACACCGAGCTGTGAACACACAAATAGTTGAGCCAGCTACAAAACATCACCATTTACCCGGTGGGCAGCATCTAAACCATCTCACCTTTACATACGAGTCACATGACCTGCAGGATTTTCCCATCAGCCCTCGGGCCTCGTGGACTGCAGACAGGAAGCCGACCAATCAATATGGGACCGGTGCTGGACAAGTACCTGACCTACTTCACAGAGATGCATACTTACTGTAAATGGTGAGTTGTCCTGCCTCCGGTGTGATTGACAGCCTCAGCTGACCTATGGAGAGCAAGAGGTTAACATAGCCGCCAGCTGTTTGGTCCGTCTAATGATTATTGATTCCTGATCATACCCCTGCTGCTAAACACAAACTGTTGGACCTTCCTCCTCCTGGACTTTGGTCTCGTTTCGGTCTTGGTCTTTGACCTGGATCTGGTCACCTGCTGCACCGCTGCTCCTTGATCAGAACTCCATGTGGTTCCGGTGTCTAGCAACTGATAAGAGACCAAAACAATGTGGATCAAAATCCGAACTGGATCGGACCCAAACCCTTTGGATCAGAATCTGAGGTTTGACCAAAGACTGACCTTAGAGCTGGTTTGAGCCTCTTTGTTCTGGTCCACGTGTGTCTCAGTGGATGTGGGATCAGCCTGGTTTCTAGGGATCACAGCAACGGCCGAATTCTGGTTCAAAGTATGCATGGGGTTCTGGATCCTGGTCGTCCTGATCAGTGCTGTTCTAATCTCTGGTCTGCAGGGAGGGACCTCATGTCCAAACATGAATCCAGTATACCCGGTTCTGGTCCTGTTCCTTAGAAACCTACATAAGTGAGACAGCATCAGAGTTTGGTTCTGATGATCTGAACCAGACTGGCTCAGGGTCTGGTTTAACCTGCAGTCTGTATGCCGGTTCTTTTTTTTCCTGGCGTTCTGAAGAGCTTCTCTTGGCTCTTTGTTCTCTTTCCAACAAGGATTTTGGTTCCCGTCTTCCTGCTCCACTCTGCAGCTCATTTTGCTGCCCTGTTCCCAGGCCTCCTGGTCTGGCCTTGGATCCACGCCTCTGGAGACCCTTTGGAAGAAAGTAGATAATGACCAGAGCAGCAAGGTGAAGCCACTGAGCAAATATTTCCCAGAATGTCCTGCTGGTAGATGTTAGGAAGCTTTTTTTCTCTTCATATTTACCCTGCAGTTCTTCTGACAAAAGCTCAAATATGGAGCCGAAATGTTCATGTTTTGTCAGAGTTCTGGGTTTGTAATAATTGAACTTTGAACTTTATGGACCTCACATTGGATAAATTTACCTCTGCATTTAACCCCTCCCCTTGGGTAGCAGTGGGCTGCCATTGTGCTGTGCCCGGGGAGCAGGATGGGTTAAGGGTCTTGGTCAGGGACCCAGAGTGGCAGTCTGTGGGAGTGGGACTCAAACTCAGAACCTCAGGATTCCAAGCTCTATGTACTAACCCTATGCTACTAACCACTAGTACTGAAGTATGTAGCTCTTGGCATCAGAAGCTGGATCGAACGAAATCCATCAATTCCATCAGACACCAAATGTTTCAGCGTATTTCTACAGTACTTATTCACAACACATATCATCTCGAGGCACTTTACAGATACAATTCAGATCATCCAGTCAAATTGATTCAGTTTCCCATCTATGCAAAACCAGCTGATTGCATCAACTCATATAATATATTTTCTACCATCTGAAATCAATCCGATGCAAATGACATGGATTCCACTTTCAATTCTATTCAGTTTATTTCTATAGCTCCAATTCACATCATGTCGTCTCAGGTCACTTTCCAGTTCACCAGATCATCCAGT